TAGACGCAACAACGGCAAATAGAGGGAGGCCAGCGGAGCTTGCGTGGCCGCCCACGCGGCTGCAGAGGGCGCTCAATGCCACGCCTGCGCGGTCCGACTCTGCGAGACGTGTACGGGCGTCGTGGTGATCTTGAGGAGCAGTAACACATCCAACCACCAAGGCCAGCGCCACCGTCACAACGCTGTCCGATCATCAGCGGAGCTGACCGTAACCGACCTGGTGACCGCGTAAGGGCGGAGGAGCGATGTCGATGCTGACAACCGCAACCCATTCCCACAGGGCCACTCCGATACTCACGAAGAAAAACTTTTTCTCAGAAAGTCACGCCTGTCCGCCAGAAGCACTGGATCCTCCACACCTCACCGGGCGCTGCGCTTAAGGCACCCCACTGCCAATCACCGCTGTGTCCAGGACGACATGACCGAACCGAACAGACAAAGGTCTGATGGCACAACGACCCGATCAGCGCGAGAAAAAACAAAACGGAAGCTGGAGCCTGAGTGAAATACTCACCTTTTCGCATGCAAAGGAACCAGTCCTCCAACGGACCGCGGACAGCCAGTCCACCTCGCCACGAGCCTTCACCGTACGATGTGGACGCGACGTCAGACGCGACCATTTGGGCTGCGCCGCCGCGGAACATGCCCCAGAGTCGCTGTAGATGGTCGGACGGTTCGGCCGCGGCCCGATCTGACGTGGAAGCTGCGCCAGGTGGACTGGCCGTCCATGGTCACTTCAAATCGGATCCAGCAACATTCCAAACTCTTCCAGGCCTGACGGACGGACGAACGCGGTCCTCCAGGACTATTTCACCCTCGCGGCCTGATGAAATGATCGTCCACCAACTGACGGCCTGGTGGACCGACACTCCAGACTCAACCAGACCTGGTGGACCAGCACTCCAGACTCATCCAGACCTGGTGGACCGGCACTCCCGCCGCCACACCAGGCCCCGTGGACAGTCCAGTTCAGAGTTCAGTCCCAGTTCCTCCAGGCCTGGCGGACCGACCGCCCACTACCACCCAGCCGGCGGCCCTCCCTGGCCGCCGCCGGTCGCCTCATCACCTTGACTAGGCATATCTGGTCGTCGCGGCTCAGCTTGTCCTGAAAGCCTGGCAGCTGTTTGGTGAACTCGACTATGAGCCGCACAGTCAGCACGGTCAGGCCGGTGATCTGCTTACACTGCAGCTCGGCAGGGTCCAAGCTTGTCCGCTCCAGCTGTGAACGTGACGTCACACGTCACGTCGGCTGACGTCACGGCCGGCGCGGGCGGCGGGGCGGCACACGGCAGCACGATGGGGACGACTGTTCTGAACGGCAGACTCGTAATTTTTATGCAAATCAAAGGAAATGAGCATGTGCCAGAAACAGTTAACACTAGGGAACCACTGAAAACGCGTTTGATCGCAAATCATTCTAGGAACGTAACGCAGAAATTTGATCTTTGACATCAGTCCCTCCGACTGAAACTACTTCGGGAACCGCAGGATAAGCGGTTGGTGGCCCGCGGCAGAAGGCAGCCCCAGCCGGACTCGCCAGCAGAGGGTGGCGCGTGGCAGGACGGTGATGGGCCGACCCCTTTTTGTTGAAATCCCGTGAAAACCCGTGACGGCCCTTTTCAGGGACTCCGGGGTAACGGGCGCCAGCTCAATAGCGGGCTCCGGGATGGCAGGGCAGCGCGCAGAACTGACGCAGGCACGCACGGCACGATAACGGAGGATAAAGGTGCGTCTTCGCGTACGAGCACAGAGCGAAAGCATTATGAGCATTCGTCCGTCTTAGGTTAAGCGTCGCGAGCGAGAAGCATTCCCCAAAGGTGAGGGGTGAAGTCAAACACAACACAAAAGCTCTCTACAGGTCAGCAAGCGAGAATGGTCTCAGAGTCGGGTAGCGTCATTTCGTTCAAGTTGGAGATCGTCTCCCGAAAAAGCATGCTGTCTGTTCTCGGTCTAACAGAAGCAAAGGGAAGGCGAAATACGACCGAGGCGTGGACCAAAATGGCGTCCGCCTACAGAATATAACTAAGCGCATTGGAAGCCCAGACAGCACGAATGCATGACTTAAGCACGGACACTGCAAACAGTTACTACGAGCTCAAATGAATAGCAATGAAGGCACTCAATTTACTAGGCTTTGTCAAGACTATCAAACGAACGGGAAACAAATCACGAGTGTTAAGCCAAAGACTGTTCTGGTTGCTTTTTAAGCGGACACGGTATGTATATAACATATCCCAATCCACAGCTGAACTCAGGCTAGCAGGGGCACCTGACATTCGACCGAATTTGACTGCGATAACAACGTTTAAATCGTAATTGCGCTTACATACTCAGCATATTTTAATCATGATAGTGATGAACTATCGAGCTCAACAATCCGGTCAGAGTTTTCTTACGGTTCACCTTTTGCTTTCCAAGTACGTTGCTCATATTTAAACATAGCATTACACAAACCAAGTACATCTGCAACAGACTCCCTGTCAAAATCATCTTCGCAAAGCAAAACAGCAACGCCCCAAAAACGACCAGGGACACCAACCAGCATAACACAATCCACAGCGTTCCTGCCAGAGATTCCCCACCCGGTAGAGCCGCCGAGCCACCCCGGCCAGCCGGGTGGTGCGGCGGAGCCGGCGCCGCACTCACCGCCGAGCGGCGCATGTCCTCCTCGGTGGGCGACTCGTACTCCTCCTGGTAGCGCACCAGCCGGTTGATCAGCTCGTTCTGTTCGGCCGTCAGCGTCTTGCGGCTGACGGGCAGCACGGTGAGGGGAGCACAGCCACCGCCGCCGGCGTCGCCGCTCTGGCCCACCACCGCCTCCTCCGGCGCCACCTGACGGCCAGACGGCCAGTTTATGGTGCCTGCCCAGAGCCAGCTGCGCGGACAAGGGCGGCGCGCTGGCGCCTTCGGACCCACCAGCGGGACGGAGGCGCTGCATGACCGCCTCCGGACCCGTATGGCGGGAGGCGGGGGTGTAACACTGCCCCGTGTGAGCTCACGTGATGAACGGTCGCGATTTACTGCAGCCTTCAAGTTCGGACCCACCCAACAGCCGCGGGGGGTTATGGTCACCTCCGTTTCCAGCTCATGGAAGGCGGGGAGTCACCCCGTCCGTTGCAGACACACGTCAGCGACAGAGGCGTTAAAAAGTCTGCTGGAGAGCCGCCGATGAGTCGGAGATTTTCTACTGCTTATTTCGGATCCACGTGAGATCATAGCAAGCGATACACAGCTGGCTCTGGACCTGCTCAACAGGAGGCCACGGCTTTACTCTGCCTGCTCCGGAACGTACAGAGGGACAGGGGGGCCACCCGGCCGACTCGGAGCCCCCGACAAGAGAGCGGCACGTTACGCAGCCGCCGCTTCCGAATCCAAATGACAGGAAGCGGTGAGCGTTACAATGACGCCACTAGCCCCCAGGCGTGGGGAGAGGGAGAGAATCGTTACGCTGCCTTCTTTAAGTTTATCATGCATCACACCTATCTCCCACACATCCAAGAACACATCCACTACATATCCCGCGACACGCCCCCCCCCCCATCCCTCTCCCATCCCTCCGCGGGGTCCACCAGCCCCGTCGGCCCACCGACTGACCGCGGCTGGCGAGAGACGGCTGCGCCTGGCGTCGGCCGCGTCCGGCGGCGTCGGCGTCGACGGCTCGGACGGGATCGAGCCGGAGCGCGCCCGGCCGCGCTGGCCCCTGCTTGGCCTTACCGCTTCTCCTGGCACTGCGACTCCGGGACCACGCCTGCAGGCACGGCGTCGGCCGTCAGTCAACGGTGCGGTTGCCACTGCCGCTGATGTCGGCCGGCGTGGCGTCACGACGTCAGCGCAAACCGGCTCGCACTAGGCGTCGGCGCGTCGTCCGCCGATGAAATCAACGTCAGCCGGCGCGCGCAGGGTCAAACACACGCAAAGGACTGAAAGCTCGCTCCTATCCCATGACCGCGTCAATAAGCCATCACGCAAAAAGCGCACCCCACGGCAGAAGCGACGGGCCAGCGACGGCAGTCGGCCGCACGCCGACACACGCGTCAGTGTCGGCCGCGCCATGACGTGCAGATTGATCGGCACGGGAGCAGAAGGCGCCTCAAAGTGGCGCCGCCAGAGCGGCCATTACGATGAGGAAATAGGCGGTGGCGGCGGCGGCGGCGGCGGCGATGGTGGGCGGCGCGACTCCAGCCGCCGCGGTCGGGCCGTTCAACTCCCGCCCTTGACCTTGAACAAGTCCAGTCGGGTGACGGCGCGGCGGGCCGGCCGGCTTGGCGACCGGAGCCGCCGCCGGCCGACGCCGCCGCGGCCACCGCCCGCCTGATCTGTCAACGCCAACGGCGTCCACAAAGGCCGGCCACCAATGGCGGCGGTCGACACGGGTCGAAGAGGCGGGTCCGGGGGCCTGCACCAAAAGCGGGGAACTGAGTGGGGGAGGGGGGACTGGAGCGTCCGGACCGGACAGGTCAGGAAGGGCAGCGCCGGACGAGACGGGTCTGAGGCCCCTGGACCCAGTGAGACTGGTCCAGGGGCCCGGACCAGACCAGACGGGTCCAGAGGCGTCGGGCCATAGACCCACCGAACAGGCAACCGGTTTCAGCATGGTCTGACGAGAGCAATTACCCAGTGTGAAAGCGCACGAGGGATATCCCTTTCGGTGTCGCTTGCAGCGCAGGCCGTGATGACTTTCTTATGACATGCTCACGTGGCCAGGGGTCGCCTTTGCTGTCGCAACTACAGCTAGAGAAGCAACAGCAGAATAAGGTTGTTGCATGTCTGCACAGGCGTTTTGGAGCCTCAAGGACACTACTTACATTCGGAGGGCGCATTCCGACGTCGAGACACTTCTTCAATCGGCACTCTTGGCATTTTCTCCGCATATACATATCTATCTCACAGTTCTGACCATATTTACACACATACACTATTTTCTTCGTCATGCTTCTTCGGAAGAACCCTGAAAAGTTAAGCAACTGATAAGCTTCGGAAGTCATTGCAACCTCCAGAGGATGGTGTACACGGTACGAGCATCAAAGCTGCAGACACAGAAGTTTGTCGGGTTCGTACCATGGCCATGACTGTATAGTCACTTCCACCTAGTCATAAACCGGACATCGGTGTAAGGCGCCGTAAAGAAGAAGCGCAACCACGCAGAACACATAAACATACCCGGCCGGCAGTTTAAGTTGTCTGAAAGGCTACAAATCCGCCTTCTCCTTGATATGACTGTACTGATTGCATGTCCTGCGACCTTGAAGCATGCGCCGAGAGCTACGCTAGCAACCACGTACACTCGCAGGATGCGGTGGAATAACAAATGCAAGCCAGGCGGCGACCGTGATGAAAGAAATAGGGGTGGACCCGACACATGGACGTTCAAAAAGGACTGAATGCACAGCAGCGCATTTAGCGCAGCTCCTGGCGACCTTCCGCTTGTTCAATGCCAATGCCGTACTCCACCGGTGGAGTCGCCATACTGTGTACGGAGCGAACTTACCTTTACAGCCTTCACACGTGAGGGCGTTGTAATGGTAGCCAGACGCCCTATCGCCACAGACCAGGCAGAGCTCCTCACTGAGTCTGGCCAGCGGACCTTTCTTCTCTTCTTCCTCCTCCCCCGTGTAAGGACCGTTGCTGTTCGGGCGGCGACATCTCATCGTGGGCCTGAGACGAAGGAAACAGCTGGGTTACAGATCAGGTGATATTTTGTAGCAATGCAATTCGTCAGGAGCTCAACATTAATACGGGCAACAGCACAGCACACCCTTGCATCTTGCGCAAACCGGCAGGCCGTTTCCAAGAGCAAAAATGAGATATTTGTTGACAAGTTTCCGTGCGCGCGAACAGATGCTATTCGCAACGTGCTGTAGCATAATACGCTGAAACTGAATCTCTTCTGGTCTGGATACTCCTGCGGAAAGGATCTTAAAAGAAGCCATTCCATGGGTTGGCACTATGCATCCGCATTATTTTGTGTGTCACACACACCACGCGTCTTTTTTGCCTTTAGCCGTAAATTTCCTGCTATGAAATGTGCCTCACGACACGGAGTCATTGGGTTGCCACTTAATCCGTATATTGTCCAACCGCCATCGGAGCGACTTCCACTAGTGATGAAAGCCCGCCAATAAATCACGACCACAACCGCAACGAGCTTTGGCCACGAAATGGTAGCGCCGCGCTCATTTCAAAGACAATAACCGCCTTGATGGATGGGTTCATCCTGTCATGTCGCCCGGGCCTCTGACTGCTCCGCGCGAAACACGGCGCGACCGGACCGGAAAGCAACAGCCTGCATGGGAAGTCAAGTTCAAAGAACGCTCAGGTGACTGTTCCCACGCCGCCGGCGGCGGAGGCGGCCCGTCAGCGACCGCGAGCCGGCAGAACCGGCCGGCGCCGGCCGGCCGCGGCGCGCTGCGAGCCGGTCGCGGTCCGGCGCCGGAACCGCCGCGTCGCACCAGCTCAGGTCAGACCGGCTCATAGGCGCGGCTCCAAGCCGGTCGCAGTGTCGCGTCCCGCCGGCTCAGGTCGGGGGCCGGCCGGCGGTTGCGGCTCGCGGCCGGCCGGGCCCGGCCGTCGCCCAGCGCCCGAGCCCACCCGCTCCGTCGACTCGCCGGCCGATACTCTCGACCTGCCGCGACAGCGTCCAACAGCGCGCTATTCTCCGAACCGGCGGCAGCCCGGCGCTGCGTGGACGGCACTGCGTGGCCGGCGCGTGCCCCCCGGCCGGGTCCACCCCTCATGGGCGCGGCTTGCACCGGCGCCCGCCCCGGGCCGGCCGCCGTTCGGAGCGCGCCAGTCACGGCCAGCGCCGACTCCGCCCCGGGCGGACGCGAGGCGGCGTCACATGCTGCCGCCAACGCGGGAGCAGGGCGGCGCCGAGGCGGGGCGGAGACCGCGGTCCACCACCGGCGGCTCGGCGTCCGGCCGTCACCGGCCGCCTCGTCGGCCCGGGGAGCAGCGGCGGGGGCGGGGTATGGGCCGCCGCCGGCTCCGAGCCCTACTGCAGCAGTGACCTGGCGGGCCGGCCGGACTGGCGCCCCGCCGCACGAGCACCGAGCACGAGCACAGCCCGGTGGTTTGGCCGCCGCGCGGCGCCTCGCTGGCCGTCGCCGACACTGCACCGGCCGTGTAATGGCTTTGCCGGGCGGGTGCGGGTCCCAACCGGTGTACGGTGGTCCGGGAGCCATTGTTCCATTGTCGCGGGCGCTCCCGACTCGTGGGACGCCTCCCGTCACGTGTACCTTTGTTGACACAACAAGGAAGTGAGGGACGTGTCCGCGGCGCAATCGCCTTCTGAGGCCCGCCAGGGAAGCACAGCGACACTGTAGCGTCTTCGCCATGCATGCCAGCATGACGTATAAGGGTCCAAAAGGAACCGGTTATGGCAGCGTTCATGCCACCCGGCAGCACCAAAGCGTGGGCGACATTGCCGGGGACGCCCGCAACGCCCATTATCAAGCCATGTTTGGTGTTCATCGCGCAACGCACGCGCCGGAATGCATGCACAGTTAAAAATATTTGGACCAATGCCGTCGTAAAGAGAAAAATAAGATACACCAAGAAAAATGGAAAAAAGCTGTTAGAAGTCCAAAAAACACCGCAAATCGCCACGCATCTAACTTCGCGCCGCGGCCGCTGCACCTGCGCGCATCAGCAGCCGACGTCCAGCGAGGACGAAAACAACCGCCGGCGTTGCTGCGCGGAAGCACGGAGCGGCCGGCAAGGCTGCACAGGGCCGGGCCGGGGCCAGGCCGGCCGACCGTGAGCGCTGCAGACATTGCGGCACGTCCGCGCGGGCCGTACCGACCGGCGGCGGGCGGCCGCCCACCGGCGCCACCGGCAAATGGGAACCGATCGCGCGGCGGCGGCGTGACGACGACTCGACGCATCCGTCTCTATTATCTAGCCGGCGAGGCAGCCAAGCGCGACGGCTCCGGGCCAAATGAGCGGGCATTCCCAGATCGGCTCTCCGGGAGGAGCGTGGCGCTGAGAAGGACGGCGCGGCGGGCGGCTGCACAGCTCGGGAGAGCGCGAGAGAGAGAGAGAGAGAGAGAGAGAGAGAGAGAGAGAGATAGAGAGGAGAAGAGAGAGAGAGAGAGAGAGAGAGAGAAGAGAGAGAGAGGAGAGAGAGAGAGAGAGAGAGAGAGAGAGAGAAGAGAGGAGAGAGAGAGAGAGAGAGAGAGGAGAGAGAGAGAGAGAGAGAGAGAGAGAGAGAGAGAGAGAGGAGAGAGATAGAGAGAGAGAGAGAGAGAGAAGAGAGAGAGAGAGAGAGAGAGAGAGGAGAGAGAGAGAGAGAAGAGAGAGAGAGAAGAGAGAGAGAGAGAGAGAGAGAGAGAGAGAGGAGAGAGAAGAGAAGAGAGAGAGAGAGGAGAGAGAGAGCGAAGAGAGAGAGAGAGAGAGAGAGAGAGAGAGAGAGAGAGAGAGAGAGAGAGAA